TCTTTCCCTCGGTCTAATAGGAATCACTTATCCCCAAAGAGAGTTGGAGTGAAAAGCTGCACCTGCACCGTTGTTTCGAGGGTTCCGATGGTTTTAGTGCACCACGAACGGTGGAGATTCAAGCTGGCACGAGCTAGCTGCTCCAACGCTCCTCCGCGGTGAGTGATGTTTGTTGGAGGATACCTTAACTATCCTTTTACTTGGAACAAACAGTTATTAGTATAATAATAATAATGTAATCATTTCTTTTTTCATTTTATTTAATCGATTTTTTACCTGTTTGAATTTTTACTTTCGTTTTAATTAAATTGCATCTGTTTAGCGAACCCCGGTACAAGTTAGTTGTTTATAATTTAGTTAGCGTGTTAATATAGTGATAATTGAAAACACTGATTGAATCAAATAATGGAGAGTTGGATCAGAAAATATGATTCTTTGTGCTAGATTAGACTAGACTGCATCAAACCATTTAAGATTTTTAATAATTACCACAGCATAGCATGCATGATACGATGGTTGGTAACCCAATTAAATATAAACATATGCATGCATGGCGCTCTCATCGATCCATCCATTCAATGAACAAAACCAATTTATTCAACAAATTATGTACATAATAACGCATGAATTTAAAAATTTGTAGATTTTATGGATTAAGAATTTTTAATTAAATAATTGAATTATTAAAATTTAATAGTTATGGTGTTAAGTAAGCCTAGTAAATGAATTCCATTATATAAAAAGAAAGACTTTATTAAAATGAGAGCATTAAATTTCATATAAATGCAACATTCTCAACTCATTTTCAAGTAAAAACAACACACGCAACCATCAAGTATCAAGATCATTCATTTTCACTCAACTCGTGCAAAAGAGCATAATAACCCCAATTTCAACATGCAACTAACTTACTCCAAAATTAATCCACATAGTTACGAATCTCAATGATTCTTACAACATTCAACTCATAATCCAATTAACGACTCAACAACTCTATTAAACAAGAACTTCGACTTCAGGGAAAGACTCTGAACTACTCTAAGATAAAAGAAGAAGACAAGTTTCACACTCTTCAACAACACAAAGACTCGACTTTGAGGACGTGAACCAACACTTTGCAACTACTGTCACTAGTTCGAGGAGTCTAGTAGAAGAAGTTAGAACTTAAAGATTCTCTCTCTATGATTTATGAAAAACAAAATCTATAAGGTTTTATTATAAACAGAAATCTTATATATTTCTCCCCTTAAGGTCAAATTATACCTCTACCCAAAGAAATTTTCAACAATCACAAAACTCGTGAGGAATTAGTTAACTCAAGAGTTTTTCAACACTAAACAACTTACTAACCACAATAACATATAATTTAAAACAACGACATTAAAAGTAGGGGTAACAAGCAAACCTATATCCGTGGATAACATTCGAACTCATTTATTTTTTTTAAGAATTTACTTAGTACTTATGTAATTTTTACTCTATTTTTAATTTATGTCAAATAAAAGCTTAATAAATGTAATTTTGTATTTGTTATTATATGTCAAAATTATTATTTTTTTATTTTTTTGCAAAAAAATAATTAATTTTTGGATGGTAAAGAGACGAGTACGGATATACTCGATACGAGTAACGAGAATGAGGACACAAAGTCCATACCCATCAAGTATGGAGACAAAAAATAGTATAGGATACAGGAACAGGGGATAGAGAAGCTCGTACATGTCTCGTCTTATTGTCATCCTTATCTAAAAGACTCATAGTGTTATAACCACCACCTCCACTGTATCGTCGCCATCGTTGTTGTCGCTTCCACCACCATTGTTGTCA